TTGGCTTGATGAAGCATGTGACATGATACGCTAATAAAAGCGGTAACACTTCACGCTTATAAGATGAGTGCTGGTGATTTTCAAGTTTGAGAATAAATAGGCAGGCACAGGTCTTTTATTCCCAAAATGTGGGGAACCAAGAGACTTGTGTGTTTCTCTTCCACAAATTACAGAAGTTACTAAGTAAAAAAATGAGATGAAGGGCGGGATTTGTCTTCTCCGACACAATGTCTGAAGGAAAAGATGGTTCCTAGGGGATTGGGGGATTAGGAAATTCCCTTCCTTTTTGAAGTGGCTGATCAAAGATTTAAGGATGAATTAACAGAGATCTTGAATAAAACATTGTTTAAGTTAATTAAATTAATAGTGGTTTATGAACAAACAAGCACTGAAGGCCCGCGTTTAAAGATTCAGAACATGCAAGAGGATCTTAAAAAGTTTAACGGCTTAATGGATTTTGAGACTTTGGATGAGAAATTGAACTCTGTCTTAGATTTCCTAGAGGAGGAAATTACATAGAGCAAGAGGTCTAACTTTATGAGGGATAAATAAGATTACAATGTCTATACCTGGTAACAAAGAGCGCTAGAGCAGTCCTTCTGTGTCCTCAGCAGATTCTTACTCGCATATGGAAGATAGGAAAAGGAAATTAGTTGATACTTTTTCAGAAGCTCAAAGTTCCAAAAAGGTCCAAATTTCAAAAACCCAAACACAGGACAAGGAAAGAAAAAGAGTGAGACACGGTGGAGTTTGGAGGAATAGAAGGGGCCCAGATTCCACATTGGATTTCATGCAAGCTTTGCCGAGGTTGCAATGATCTGGCTAGAGTAACAGCGAGTAGGGATTTGAGTTGCCAGCATCACTGAAGCAAGAGCATGTGCCCTAGTCTACCTCCGAGGGTGCCAAATTCCTATTGCCAGATGCCCAGGACATGCAGTTCCGGGCGCCAGGCAAGTGTTTGTTTGTTTTTTTTACATTTTGCACTGCTGCAGGCAAGCAGGGCTAAATGTAGAGCAGGGGAACCGCCGCTCGTTTTGTATAAGTGATCTGCTTGTCTATCCTCCCCGCCGTGGTTTTTGGGATCCTCCGCTGTTCTGGGGGACCCGGACCACGGCAATGGTTTCAGGATGGAGAGCGGGGAGCAGACCGGAAAACGTCCGTCCCCTGATCTGCTCTGTGTGATCAGTGAGACAGGAGCTGTACTCACAGCGCTTCCTGTCTTAGCTGTCACAAACTAGGCTGCGCAGGAGATCGAGCACAATGCTGGGCTCGATTGTCTGTACTGGAAGGCAGGCTCACCCAGGGAGAGGTTCCCCATCCAAACCTCCCCCCCTACCCACCACACACTTCTGGGCTTTCTTCTTCTTCTATTGTCGCGGTGGCACCTCTCCTGATCCACTGCAGAGGGGAGGCTTCAAATCGCCTCATTCTCCAGTGCTGCTTTCTTACTTTAGGAGCCGCTTCTGCGCTCACTTCAATTTTCCCGGCACTGCCCCTTCTAATCTGTGGGTTATCAGGAGGGTCACCGCTGCACCAAAAGAAGAAAGCACAGAAGATGGTCTAAAGACACTGATCCACCATGGAGGCCCACCACGCAGCAATACATTATACAGCAATGCAGAATACCACCAGCTATAGAGGACTACAAATCCCAGCAAAATCTTGTACAGCAATGCAGAATAATATGAAGCTACATACTTTGTTGCTCCGGGGTGATAGCCTGATGTTTCCAGGGTCTCAGGAGGGCTATGCGGTTTCTCACAAGTGCTGTGTGCGGTATTTCACCAGGGCTGCGCGGGCTGGTGCGGGTGGTGGGCAGGAGGAGGGAGGAGATGTGCGGCCAGTTCTCTAAACCAGTGAAACGGATGGCAAACGTACTCCTCATTTCATAATGAGCTTTAAAGCAAGGTGCACATGGAGGGGCTTTACACAGTACAAAAACAGACATATCCCAGCACACTCACTAGCCAGCCTGCAAAAAAAAAAGTACACTGTCTAACTACGAAGGTTAAAAACTGAGGTTTTAGTTGCACAACATTTGCAAAATATGTGGAAACCACACTGCCTCATCAAGGCCCCTCTGTGTAGTGTGGTCCTAACTCTAATCTATGAGAGCCTCCATTTTGGTGCATATATAGCAAAGGATGAATTGGGTGCAGGTTCGCCAGGAGGTAGCCCAACTCTCCCCCTCCCTCTCCAGCTATACTTGCCTTTCGGCAAACGGTCATTCCCCTCCGCAGGTACGTTTGTACTATCCATACCCTGTACTGCTGACCAGTGCAGCCCTACGCTATGGATTTTGAATTTCGCTCACAAATTGCAGGTGACTGCACTGACCAATGAGAAGCGTTTCTTAGCACGGTTAAGTACAGTTTTGGTTAAGATTATTTTTTGTATCGGGACAAGTAGACTGTTTTTATTTTTCAGTTTATTTTGGATTGCAAGTTATATATGGTTATTTAAAACTTAGTTGTTCCTCTCCATGGACTGTCCCCTCAGTTTCTGTCCCAGGAGGTCACCCAGAAATGCAGTAGAATCTCTCCATCAGGGACACAGCTGCTTTAACCCCTTCATGACTGAGGCCTTTTTTTTCATTTTTTGTACCCATGTTATATTCCACATTTTAGGCCTGAAAATTACTTGAAACCCCCCAACATTATATATTTTCTGAATGCCAAGACCCTATAGAATAAAATGGTGGTAGTTGCAAATTTTTATGTTGCGCAATATTAGCGCAACTCCTTATTAAACCCCAATATTTAGTGAAAAATTTAATTAAATGCCCCAAAACACAACAAAGATGAGGTTACAACGAGTAAAACGATACCCAACATGCCCAGGTTACAAATTGCGTGCATCCGTAAAACGGCGAAAAACCCCAGTACCCCAAAAACTCAGACGCTTTAAAAGCCCCCACAGGTCATCAATTTAGAGATACCCCAAAATACTGGCCCTAGAATTATTGCTCTCACTCCGGCGTGCGCGGCGATACCCATGTGTAGCGTGTTCGTCGTTTTCATACGTAGGCGCACCCGACGTGTGTTTACGTGGCGACGCGCGTGCTCGCGGGGGACTTTTAATTTTTTTTTATTATTATTAGATGTATTTTATTTAAATTTTTAATTTAAAAAACTTTTTTTCTTTTTTTTTTTTTACTTTACTTTGAATGCTATCACATGGGGGGGCTTGCAAGCCCCCCCATGTAATAGCAGATGGTGGTGACAGGTACTCTTTAAGGTGATGCTGGGGGTCCAAAAGACCCCCAGTGTCACCTTTACACTGGAAATAAGCTATTGAAGTGCAGATCGCACTTCAATAGCTTATAGCTGGGCTCCAGGAGCCCAGAACTGACAGCCCAGGGACCGGAAGTGATGCAATCTGCATCGCTCCCGGTCCCATAGAACGGGGAGGGGATCGATGAACGGAAGTTCGTCGACCTCCTCCCCAGCTCCCCGCGGACACAAAGATCGCCGGTCCCGGGCCCGTAGGAGGGGCAACGGAGCCCGGGAAGCACGGCGGGGGGGGGGGCGGCCCCTTCTTCGGGACGCAGAAGCGATCTGGCGACAGGTAAGTCGCCAGGATCGCTTCTGTTGTAAAGCCGACAGTCTTAAGCAGAAGTTTAAACAGAGTCCCGGCGGCAAAAGTCACCGGGAGTCTGTTTTAACAGCCCCGATGCTGGCGACGTACACTGTACGTCGTCAGTCACGAAGGGGTTAAAAAATACTGTCCCCTCTTCATCCATACGTCCATTGCTTACAGCTCCCTAGCATGCCCTGTAGAGGTGCCTGGACTGGAGTGGTGTCTGGACTGGAGTGATGTCACATTCTGGCTCCTGGCACCTCTACAGGGCATGCAAGGGAGCTGTAAGCAATGCACATGCACAGCACAGCAGCTCACACTGGGATCCACTCCAGATCTCATAAGGTAGGGAGTGGGTGGATCTTAAAAAAAGAAAATGTAAATTTTTATTTTGGTATGTGTGTGTGAGATTGTGTCTGTGGTTGTGTGTGTCTGTCAGTGTTTTTGAGGGCCCGTTCACACTAGCACAATACGTTAATTGCACATTCCTGTGCGATTTAATGCACTGTGCCACGCAATCGCACCTACTACACGTTCTGGTGCGAGAGGTGAGTTGCGTTATTCATTTAAATGGCACCCCAAATGCAAATCCTGCCCACAGTCCAATCGCCCGCACTGAAGGGCATGGTACCGCATGCCGTGCGGTGTGACTTGGGTCGCGACTCAATGACCAAGGACAAATATGGGTCCTGAGGTTATACAGGTTGAGAACAATTGCTGTAAAAAATGGCATGTTGCTGTTTTTTTTTCTCTCTCTCTCTCTCTCTCTTTCCCCCCATCCTCTACAGTGATTCAGTGGATTTCAGGTTTAAAGTGTGTTTTATATGGTTATATACAGTGAAGGGAATTGATCAAATCTGGAGCGGCTGTGCATGGCGACCAATCAGCACCTCTCTCATTTTCAAATCTTAATTGAACAAACGAAAGAGAAAAGCTGATTGGTTGCCATACACAGCTGCTGCATTTTTTGTCTGCACCCGTTTTGATCCCTGTATGTATGTATGTATGTATGTATATATATATATATATATATATACATAGCGTATTGGTTTGTATTGTATAAGGGATATTGTTATGTGCTATATTGATGTAACTAGTAAGAGTTGGATTGTGTTCTATGTTTTATGGATTAGGTTTCATTTAATTCTATAATGAGCCTGTGGAGAATAGCTGTGCATGACGGTATATATGTCTTCTGCCTTGATCCGCCCCATCTCTATGATAAAGTCCAGGATTGGGTGAAACATGTTAGAAGGGGAGGACCATGGGAAGCTGTGTCGGCAGTAATAAAGTTTTCTAGAGAAGTTTGCGGTGTGCGGGCAGATTGTTTTCAGTGTGGGTGTCGCTCTGTGTTCATGTTTTCTGTCACTTTTTGTTGTTGCTCTGTCTATAACGCTGATTTTGTACTGTTCTTATTTTAGGGTCCACGGGGATAACTGTGCTGAACGATTCCACAATGAACCACAGTCATCACACAATGACCACATCTGATCCTCATGCAGGTCACCAACACCCAACCACTGCTGATCCTCATGCAGGTCACCAACACCCGACCACCGCTGGACATGGCCCTGGACATGGCAGTGGTGGATGCATGCATATGATGGTGGGTACTAGCTCTGAAGCTTCACTGATCAGGACTGAAAATGAAGCCTTGTGATATGTGTGCAGTAAACCCGGCCTGCTCCTCTTTTCCCGGGTGCCTTTCATCTCTGTCCACTCTTCTGTACATTGTCCGTCATCTTCCTCCATCCTTCACTGCTGTCCTCTGTGCTGCATCTTCCTGACATCCTGCTCGGTGCTCTACCTCTTCTTGCCTGTCCTTAGTGGACTCAGCCATGCAATACTGTGCATCCGCCGTGGGTGCTCTGATTGTCCTGCTCTCTTCCACATCCACTGTCATGTATTGCTGGCCTAACTGCACTCACTTCCTCAAACTCCATCATCCCACTGGTCTTCCCTCCTTGATGCAGTACCAGTCTGATTTCCATTCCCCACTTACAAGCTCCCTAACTTCCCAGCTCTATGTGTCTCTTCTCTCAGCTGCCTTCCCCAGCCCAGTGTTCAGTTCATTGCTAGTTTCTCTGGTCTGCTCCCTCCTCACTTTCTCATTTAACAATCTGCTTCCATTGGCTCCTCTTTTTTTCCCATACCATCGGCACCATTGATCCTGCCGTCTGTGCAATCTTCCAGTCGCCATCCTGCAGTTCCCCTCTCCCCCATCTCCTTTCCACATCCCTGCTCTGCTTCTGGCCCCTGTGTCCTCTGGTTGCAGTCACTTGTGGTGCTTTGCTATGTCCTTTAAAATCTTTTGCCCGCTCCTTCAACACATTCCCAATGTGCCCACTTTCCATCCTGCCTCAACTGCTCCCCTTGCCCCTGAATCCTTCCCAAGTGTTCCCAACTTAATCAAGTATTTTAAACGCTTGCTTGTAGTCATTCCATCATTATTTTTTTTCCCACTTGCAAAGTGCATTTTCAGTTTGCTAGAAAAATTGACTAGTAATTTCCTTAGCACAGCCCCCTCCCTTCTTTAATGTCACAACCCTCTCCTCTTCTGGGAGAGTTTAAGTATTGTTTGTGCTGGCCCAGCTCCACCGCTCATCAGCTAACATACCCTTTTATGTAGCTGTTGGGGGACGAGCAATGGGGAATACTATCGAGTGTCACTTGGGTGACAGCTCTGAGTCTGCTGGGACTGCTGGCATCACATCCAAGATGGCAGCACACAGGTGCAGTCTCAAGGCTATTGATTGTCTACACAAGGGGAGCTTTTACCGGTAAAAAGCATACGTAAGGTATGTTAAATTCAAATATAATATTATAGGAAGATTGTTGTTAATATTTGTATGTATAAAGTCACTCGCACTCCAATAGAATTTCAAGTCAAAAATAGCTATATGATGTGATGGCAATTGAGTCAATAACCAGTTTTTGACTTAAAATTCTATTGGAGTGCGAGTGACTTTATACATACACTTATCTTGGACTGCAGAGGCATCTGCAGTCACTTTGGCACCCACCCGACTCTAAGGGTATTATTCGGTCAGCAGTGCAATGGGTACACTGGATTTTGTCCCTTGGAATAATGTCACCTATTCCTATTCAGACAATCAAAATTGTCACCAGGACAAAGAGCGAGAGGAGGGCCACAGATATCAATAAAAAATAGACAGGGGTTCTGACGCTGCAAGTGCTTTAATCCTGTAATGCAGGTGCTTTGCAATGTACTGATCAGCATTGATTTAGGATATACAATATACAGAATATAAACCTGTGACTGCCGTGTAATGTTTGTCTTTTTCCCTTTTCTTTCCAGCCGATGTCCTTTTACTTTGGATATGAAAATGTAGAACTTCTGTTCAGCGGATTGGTGATTAATTCAGGAGGAGGTAAATACCACTTCAGTTACAAGTCTGCCCCAAGTCTGGTGTATGGACAGTTGTAATTGCCTTTATACTGGACACACATTTTGAGTCATCAGATCAGAGGCCATTTTCAAAGGAAAAGGGATTTTGCTGGAATTGTAATGATTACTGTCCAATAGAGCCCCAATTCTCTCATGTTTCCCCTATCTCTAGGTCTGCTGGAGCCAAGTCATTTAGGACTTCGAGTCTTGGCCTCCCACTAAAGAAAAATATGTGCTGCAGCACTTCATTACAGTTTTCTCTTAGTCCCCCTGCAAAGTCCCACAAATGCTTGTTAATCCTGCCAGTCAAGTCCACCTTATGCACTATCCTGTGATGGGGTAGCAACAATGCTGCACTGCTTCTAAATTCAGAGCAGAGTTGTCACTCTCATGTAGGCTGTGGTTGCTTGTACTATAGGAAGAAGGCTACTGCTTTCTGGATTGATAGCAGCACCTCTGTTGCTGAAACCCTCCCACTGTGAGCTGCAGTGTCTGGGAGGGGGAACGTGTGAGACACAAATAAAGGAACAGTAGAAAAGGACTTGTTTAGCCCCTGTATGCAGGTCTTCAAATGGGGTAAAATATCACCAGATCTGTCTGTATTGTAGTTTCAGTGAGCCCATATTTAATGTTTCATTGCATTGTTTACCTTAAAGGGATTTTTATATTATACGTTTTGTGCTTTTCATTGCTTGCTCTTTTATAGCATGTATTGTATTCATTATACAGATTTGTAGATTAGCCACTAGAGGAAGCTCAGTGTTTGACTTACCCTATTCAATCTCCCTGCTTAAAAGATGATGAGAGAAGATATGAGATACACAGGAATATTTTGTTTTCATTGAGTCAGCCCATTTTATGCTTAGCACGGCCGGATTTAGAGCATCATGGGCCTGGTGCTGTTCAGTTGGAAGGCCGCTCACTCCTCGCTGAGGCCCCAGCAAGTAATGCCTGATTAGAGAGCCGCAGGTGCCTCTGCCTGCTTTGTTTGGTTTTGTTTTTTTTTAAACCTGGGCCAAATTTCAGTGGTGGGCCTGGAGCTGGTGCTTCAGTAGCCCCTTTGTTAATCTGGCCTTGATTGTGAGAGGGAGCGGTAAAGTACATCCATTGTGTAGCACAGCAAAGTAGGAAGCAGAGCCAGAGTATGTAATGTGGAAAAATAGCTGCCCCTATGTACTTGTATCAGAGATTTCACATACATTACTCACATTTTTATCAAGCTGGCTCACACTAAAAGAGATCTTAACAGGTTTTTACATT